TTGTCGCCCTTGAAGGCCACATATCTTGGGAGAATGCAGAGGGAGTCCCAGTCGACCACTGTTACGAGGTCGGATCGGTCTCTTTCGGGTCTTGAGCTTTTGGCAAAGAGGCAATTTTTGTGTGCTCCGAAGGCCTCGCTGTGGAGATGGAGGTTGCGGTCGAGATGGGCGTTTCGGAACCGGAAACCGCCGTGGAAACCGTCGTCGTTGATGGGCTTGAATAAGGTGCAGGTGTGCTTTGATTGGTCTTCGTCGGGCTTTTTGACTCCGGCCACGATGTAGTGGGAGGATTGGGAGTGCAGAACCCAGTATCTGTTGTTCCAGCAGCATCTTATGTAGAAAAATCCTTTCCCAAACTTGGAGGTTTGGAGCTCGAACTTTATGTATGGACTCACAACTTTGTCGCCGGAGAATTGGAGATATCCAAATAGCTCCTTGTCCTTACGAGAAAAGTAGAGATATTTTTGGTTGGAGACTGATTTGAGAGCAAACTGATAGGGGATTGAGGGAACTTCTGATTCTTCATCCATGGCTTTCGAAATATTGATAAGGGCTTTGTGTGTTCCTCAGCCCCAATTAGCTCTCCTATTTATAACCTCTTAGAGGTTTTATTCTAGGCTTTTTGTCAAGCTTAGAATAAATATTGTAATATTTACATTGAGGTTGAGAAGTTAAGCTATACCAATTTTTAGATTATGATAAATTGTTGGTTTTGAAGAAAAATTAAACAATCCGTGTTGATTCAATTATAAAATATATATCTAGTACGAAATTTGTAGGGTTTAGGAGAGAAACTATGAAAAAAATGGCCAAGTTATTCAATGGTTAAAATTCATTTACCACTTCATTTATTATATTAAAGTAGAAGATTCAATTTAGTTTTGTGTAAATTTTGGTTTCATTTAAATTAGAGATTCATACCTCTCCCTAGGTACTCTTAAAATTACATGGTGAATTAGCGGAGGGAGGACAAAGGGTAAAAGTTGCAAACACGTATCCTAAGTCTGAATTAAGTTCGATAAAGTTAAAAGTTAGAAATCAAGATGGGAGCAAATGAGTATGTAGCAAGCAAAGTAAAAAAGCAGTAAATTTTAGCATAGGTTTTCATAGGTTTCCTCCCCTTTATATATATATGAAGAGAGATAGGTAGCATTTCGTTTCCTTTTCCTGTCATCTCAAAGTGATGCAGCGACGTCTGGGTACGTCTCTAAAATCATGGCTGACACTATACTTTGTGAGTTTATTGGCACCTCTAGCYACTTTGGAGTCGTCCATGAAGTGTACTAGAYCTTCTCTTTCCAACCGTGCACTCGACATTGGTCTAGTGCACTCTGTTTACTCTTTTTGCGGGTCYATAGTATTCCTCGTGTGAGCACGTGGTTCCACGCAGTGGTGCAGGCTACACCATCTCGTCTTGACGGTCAGGATCCCAAAAGAGCACCTTCTATAATTACTTCTATAATTACTACTAGGCAAAGAACTAATGTTCAAACAGAAAAATGTTAAAATGTAACAACCCTTTACATGACTTTTCTCCATCTAGTCTTTTTTTTTTCAAAGTCGTAAATTTCCCGATAAAATATTGGTTGATTAGATAGGTAAGCTTTAAAAAAAAAAAATTAAATAAAGATGTTAAGAAACCCAAAAAACTAAAAAAGAGAGAATTAAAAAAGGAAAAATTTATTAATAGAAAACAAGCAAAAAAAGGGTTCACGCCAAGCGTAAAATAAAAATAATAATAAATAAAAATCTCACAAGTACTCTAATTTTCCATATTCAAATTTGTTCTCATTGTATTTTCTTTTACTATAATTTTTATGTTTTATGTACCAAATATGTTTCTAACCTTTTTCTTCTACATTTCTTTCCTACTACAATTTTTCTTTAATTTCTCTTTCTAATTTTTCCTTTTTTTTCATGTATTTTACTCTCAACTTTACTCAAGTGATTTCAAAATCATAATGGATTTTAAATGAATTCCATTGTTTGATATCTCAAGATTTTGATTTACTTAGGAAAGAAAARATTGGATCRAAATGGCCTTTGTAGAATTTTATAGAATTTCAAAATAAATTACCTATTTAACCTTATCATATTTTAATTTATATTTAATAAATTTTTTTTTATTTTCTTCTTGTTTCCAGTGGACTTTCAAACAAAGAAAATTAATTTAATTAATTTCAAATCATTCTCGTTTCAAACAAGATAAAAAATTTAAAATAATTTCTTGAATTTTCTTAGCGCTAAACAAAGGGTAAAAGAGTTTCTATTTTTGTCTATTAACTTTTCTCTTACTTTTTTTTATGTGATTTTTTTCTTTATCTCTCTAAAATTTACTATCACTAAACAATTCTCTTTAAAGTCTTTTTAGCTTTCTAAACTTTTATACTAGTCTCATTTTACTTTGCACAGATTTTCTCCCTCTGACATATCTCTTCAACTTTCTAATTATTTAAATATAGAAAACAAAAATGATTATCAATATGTTTCATTTTCTATTCWCTAAAAAACAAGAAACAAAAATCATTTATCAAAATATGTATGGTTTTTATTTAGAAAGAAAAAACAAACTAAAAACTAAAAAATCAAAAACTAAAAAACAAAAAAATCATTATCAACCCCATCTAAAATTTTCATAACTAAATACCATTTAATATATTTTCACGACGGGCAATGAAATTTCATGTCTCACTACCACAAAAAATTAAAATAAAATAAATAAAGAGAATATATATATATATATATATATGAAGGGAAAAAAAAAGAACATATATATTAAATAGAAGGGGAAAGAAAATAAAAAGGGAAGGAAAAGGAGGAGAAAGCTATTAAATGTGGCTGGTCCCCATGTAATAGTTATCCATTATTGAGAATAATTGGTGAGATTCAGCCAACCAATAATAATAGGTATATAACCTCTAAAAATAATAATAATAGGAATAAATAAAAACATTAAAAAAAATAGAACAATATCTTTGAAGGGTTTTTTTCTTTTTTCTTTTTGAAGGGTATACTTTATCTAGAAGGGAAATATACCCTACCAATGAAAGCACGTTATTCGTTTTGTTTAATCTGCGTAGCTATTTTCAATTTAGTCTATGCTATGTTAAAAGTCTCAATTTTGATCTCATTTTTTTTTTAATTTTTTACCTAAACCACTCCATTAATACTTTCCATCATAATTAACATTTTGAAAAGTTGAAAGGTAAAAATTGAAATAAATTTATTCATTTACTGTCCTTCTACTCTACTTACCCTACTCCCAACTTSAGTACTAATTTAAGCATCAGAGTGCATACAGCAGAACACCACACCTAGGTGTAAAAAAGGTGTCATGTATGTCTTAACGTTAGAACTTAGGGTGAGACTAAATGAGTATGAAGCATGTAGAGTAAATGCATGATTYAGTGAGAGTCCACTTGAGAGTATGTGCAGAATTATTTGCATGATGATATGCATAGGAATTCTTGGTGACCTTCATTAGGGTTTCCGTGTGGTCCTCTCGTATGGGGTGAGAGAGTTATAGAGAGAAGAGGGACGTGCCTRCTGGTTGTGGGACCACCGACACTCTCSTTCCTCTGTGCGCTGGAGAGAGGAATGTGATAAGTGACTTTTGGCTCTTGTAATTTAGAGTGTTTTTTAGTTATATGATAGTTTTTATGGACATTTTATTTTGATAGTTTAATCGTTTTTAGTATTTCTTTCATTTGTAGGACTTGAGTTGAAGAAGAGGATAAAAAGAGCAAATAAAGAAGCAAAATCGAGTYAAATTCCAGTGCGTTCGATGCCTAGGCCTCAAAAATTGACAAAATGGYAGAAGGTTGGACGCCTAAGCGCTCAACTGGCAGCCTAGACACTACGAAGTTGGAAGCGRAGTTTTTGCTGGCACGCATTTGGGCGCGAGGCGCCCGCGACATAATTTTGTTAAATATCTCATTTTAACCCTAGCTGCGGGAGGGGGAAAAACAGAGGAAAAGAGACGTTTTTAGATAGAGAAGTTGGAGAGAAGATTGGAAGGAACGCGAAAAACGGAGGCTCGAGATATCATCGGATTTGTTTTCTTTCTCTTACTCTTTCTCTCATTTAGCTTCAACTTCCTCCAAAGATGTGGATTGTTGTTCTTAGGTATAACATGAACTAATTACACTTTTCTAGGACGTCGATATAGCCTTTATCACTTTATTTCTTCTGGTTGTTTATTTGATTTCTAGTCTAAACTTATTGGTTGTGAGAACTTTTCTTTTCTTAATGCATTGTTTGGATTTGGCCAATCTTTACATTGATTATTTGTCATAAACCGAGGTTGAGAAATAAGATTATTGGCTAGGCTTGAATAGTTCTCATTTATTTGAGCAAGAGATAGAGATATTCTTGCARATTTGGTGGCATCTTTGGGGTTTTACATGCTTGAGTATTTGAACTGCATGAGTAGCCATAGAAAYATAGGTGCTCTACTTTTTAAAGAAACTCGTTATTGCTTGAGAAAGAATATCGAGTCAATAGAATAGAACCCGCCATCAACCTTGGTTTAGAACAGTTTCAATTAAAGTGTTAGGAGAAATAAATGGAGATATCGCTGAAGTCATGCTCTAGAATTTACTCCCATCTATTTTCGATCTTATAACTTGATACTAGTATGTTTTCTTGTTTTTATTGAATTGRGATTCGAATTATTTCTCTATTCATTCTATTTGATCGTTCGGCATTCAGATAAAATTGAAGTTGAGAATTCGGTAGTT